CCAGTGGCGGGTAAAGGGGGGTGCAGGAGTCCTGGCCCCCACCTCCTGACCTCTCGGGGACCCAGGCGTCTGTTCCCCGGCCAGCACCCCTCCACCTCTGGACCCGGACCCCCGAGCCTCCCCTCCCGTCTCCCTTTCCACGAATTGAGGGACCCAGGCGCCCTGAGTCGGGGAGGGGCGGGGCGGCTGGTAAACGCTAGCGGGTNTCGGGGGGCGCCTCGCAGCCCCGGCCGCCTGCCCTCTCCCGCGCTCTCCCCCCTCGCCGAGGCGGCGGATGGAGCGGCCCCGGAGACGCCGCCTTCCCAGCAGGTGACCGCAGCTGAGGCCCGAGGGGTTGGATGCTGTAGGCGCGCCCCTCGCCCACTCGCTCCCCAGGTGGATTCCTGGGACTCTCCCCTGGGGATCAAGAGTGTCTTAGCCTCCGAACAGGTTGTCGCTTCCTCGATTCTCCGAGAGCCTGGCGGAGAGTCAGCCGAGCAGGGGACGCGAAGGCCGAGCGCGCAAATCCGCGCAGCCCCGGCCGGACCGGTGACCGAGGCCTTTCCCCCGGCGGGCGCCACCTGGCGGCAGAGTGAATTGCAGGTACAGGGCCTTGAAAGGGCGACATGGGGTGGCTGCAGCTGGAGGCAGGGTGCGAGGTGGGGGCCAGACCAGACGCGGGCCGAGCCCGCAGGGGTCCTGGGGGCTCAAGTAACAGGGCTGGCCGGCCCCTCGGGAAGGTTTCAGCAGACGATCAACTTGGTCAGGTTTATATAATGACTCTGGAATATTAAGTAGCCATTAAAAATATTTTAAAAGAATATTACCTAGGAAAATAATCATGATATAACATGGATTTAATCATGATATAACATGAAGGTTTGCCCATGTTTTCTTCTAAGAGATTTATAATTTTACTCTGAAATTTAGGTCTTTCATCCATTTTGAGTTAGTTTTTTTATATAGTGTGAGGAAAGGATCCAATATCATTATTTTTCATGTGTATATCCAGTTTTTCAATACCATTTGTTGCAGAGGCTATCCTTCCCCCCACTGAATGCCCTTGGTATCCTTGTTGAAAATCAATTGACTATATATGTGAAGGTTTATTTCTGGGTTCTTTATTTCATTCTATCCTATTGTTCTATATGTGTATCTTTATTCTAGTATCACACTGCTTTGATTACTATAGCATTGTAGTAAGTTTCCAAATTGGTAAATGCGAGTCTTCAACATTGTTTTTCCATGATTATTTTAACTGTAGTAAGTTTCCAAATCGGTAAATTCGAGTCTTCAACATTGTTTTTCCATGATTATTTTAACTGTACTAGGCCTCTCAAGTTTCCATGTGAATTTTATCACCAGCTTGTATTTTTCTTCAAAAATATAACAACACAGTTTTTGCCCTGTATTTTATTTATATAATGTATAACATTAATTGATTTCCAGATGTTGAACCAACTTTGCATTCCTGTGATAAATCATGCTATATAATCCTCAAAGGACGCAGCCTCAGGCATGCACCATCATTTTAGGATGACAGTGGTTTTTAGGATGACTCTCTTTTTCTCTTCTGATCACACCCCGATTTTAAGATCCACTAAATTCCAGATGATTGCTCCATTTTTTGGGAGAATGTTCTAAAGCATAATTGTTCCACAATCTGATTGGACAGTGCTCATTCTATAACAATTATTAAATATTTAAAAATTCTTTTATGTTCGTAAGGTGAGAAAACAGTCTCAATGAGGTGAAAATATTTGCCCAAAGTCAATAACTGGTGAGATGGGCCAGGATTTAAACTCTGGCCCTCATTGTTTTAAAATATTCTTTCTCATGGAGTTTTACAGTCCGGCATCTGAGACATGTTCATTAAAATCTGCTATTTTTGGTGACCCCAAGATTCCCTCAGGAGTTAGTGGACCTGTCAGAAGAAAGCCATGAAGTCCTTTGAAGACACATCAGAGGAAGAGGCCCCCAAACATGCCCAAACTTATACATCCTTACCCTTGAAACTCACAGCCAAGGATATTCTGGCCATCAAGACCCAAAACTACTTTGCTCAGGCTAAAAGAACTGAGAATGTCTTGATCCAGGTCGCCTTCTCCATCGGGCTCGGCAGCATATGGCGTTTTCCTTACCTGTGCCATTGGAATGGAGGAGGTAAGGCCAGGGACGCAGCTCCTGAGTTTGAGGAAGGAGTTTTAAGGATAGAAGTCTGGACTCCTGGGTCCTGGGGGAGTAAGAAGCTAAGGGGGGCACCCAGACTCCTAGGGCTAAAGGGAGGGGCCAGGCCCCCGGCTGCCTGAACACAGCTCCTGGCCCCCCTCAGGCGAGTTCATCCTGCTGTACTCCTTCATGCTCCTCTTGTTCGGGATCCCCCTCTTGTACATGGAGATGATCTTGGGACAGTGGCTGCACTTGGACAACATCCGGATCTGGAAACAGCTCACCCCCTGGCTGGGCGGCTTAGGCTACACTAGCATAATGGTGAATGAGGGGCCTGACCAAGAGGCATCCCAGCCCCCCCTTGTGGTCTCCAAGTCCCCCGTCTCCACCCGATTTGCCCCTCAGGCCCACTGTGTCCACCCCCAGGTGTGCATCTTGATAAGCGTGTACAACAGCATCATCATGAGCTGGACCTTCTCCTACCTGGGCAACTCCTTTTACTACCCCCTGCCCTGGAACCAGTGCTCCATGGTGAAGAACACCAACGCCACCGGTGAGGAGAGGGAGAGAGGGGGCCATCAAGGCCAAGGGAGGCCGGGGCACCGAGGAACACGAGACAGGGCGGGAGAGCCGAAAGAGGGCGGGGAGAGCAGGGGCAGGCTTCAGGTGGGGCGGTGCCTAAGCGCCTGGGTTCCCCAGGCCTCCCCTGCCTTCGGACTGTGCCCCACCAGTACTTCTGGTACCACACCACCCTGAATGCCTCAGCCAACATCGAGGAAGGGGGTGAGCAACTCGCCCTGAATCTCACCCTGGGCACCTTCATAGCTTGGTTCTTCCTCTTCATCATCATGACCACAAGGCTAAAGAGCTCAATGCCGGTAAGCCAACCCGGGCCGACCCACCACTTCACCTTTGCAAGTCCTGAGATCCTCAGGATCCCTGTCCCGACACCACCCGCCTCCTTCCTGATGACTCTCTTCTCCAATCCCCATGACCCTCCTACTCACCCAGAGGACAAGCTCAGCTATGGCCACCCAGCCTCTCCAGCAGGGGTCCTGAGGAAGATGGTTGACTCCCCAGGCAGCTGTGTCAAGCACTCCTCTCTAAAAGAGCTGCTCTTCTCCCGTCCACGGCAGGAAGGAGAGCCTCCTGTAAACCCAGCTGCCTCTTCACTGTCCCCCATTCCCACGTCACATATTGTGGAGGGTCCTGTAGGCAGAAAACCTCGCCCCCAAGCCTTGCATCTTCCACCTTCCTGCATTTTGACAGAGCCTGTTAATCCCCAAAGAAGCCCACTGGCACTGATTCCTTTCAGAATTTCCCACTTAGAGTATTTTATTCCAATCCATACTCCCAACCCATCCCCATGGCACCTGGAGAATTTACTTCAGGGTGACCATTAGATCACTTTACCAGCATCTTCTGGATCCTCATAGATGCCGGATTGCCCGCATCTGTGCAGGCAATCAGCGTTCACCGCACGCATCCCTGGAGGCTCAACTTACCATCTCCCACAGCCCCCGAAATAAACCACTGATGCCAAAGCAGATTTTCCTAAAGGCTTAGTGGG